TTGAAGCTTTTCGGGTGGACATCCAGCCTTCCCCGAGCCGCTTCCTCACGTCGGCGGGTCAGACCGACTTTTCGCAGGCAAACCTCCTCGCCTAAAACTTTCCAGCCCAGATGGTGTTCATTTCTTTATTAGCTCGCAGGGAGCGTTTCAAAATCCTTGGGGAAGTGCCGGCGTAGGATGTAAGCTCTGGTAACAAACTTGCAGTCGGGGTTTGCCATCCCTCTGCCTCCGGGGGTTTTGATTTTTGCCTGGGGAAGGAGCTGGGGGACGGAAGGAGAAAGATGGAGGAGAGCAGGGTTTTGGGTCATTCCCTGGAATTTTTTTTTTTTTTTTTTTTTACTAGAAAGCAGTTGAGTTATGCGCCGGCTCCTTGTAATGATCGTCGTATGTATCTGGCTACTTTGGCGATTTCCAGCGTTGAGATGTTCGGGAAGGGCTGTGCTGCCCTGCGGAGGAATTCCCGACCCAAGCCCTCCCCGTTCTCCCCTTCTCCCTCGGGGCGAGGGCTGGCTCACCCGGGGATTTATTCCCTTTCCTCTGGTGCAGGCTCGTATTCGGGGCCGTTGGGATTTTCAGTAACGACTGTGGATAACTGAAGTCACGTTGCTCTGAAAGGGCATCGGGAAAATTTGTTGCACTTTTTATTTGGCAGAATAAAGTTGGACTGTTCTCATGGTGGTCTTTATTTGAGAGATATTGAAGAAAAGTCTACAGCCATTCCTGAGAAAGCAGATTCAGTGTACCTGATGCACATTAGTGCTTTGCATTTGTAGCCTCTCTAATTATCTGTTCTTAAGAGCCGTAGGAATTCTATTAAACATAATTTTCAAAAACTTTAGTTCCCCTCATTTTCTTGCTTCAATTCCTCATCTTTGCTTAATCACAAAGGAGTCGGTGACAAACACTGGATTAAAACCCAGTTTTTCTAGTCTTGTGGGCCTGAACCAACACTGAAGATTATCGGGATTGGCTTTTTTTTTCCCTTTCTTCCTTCCTTCCTTTTTTTTTTCTTCTTTAAGAGCTGGTTCAAGAGCAGGTTACCAAACCCAGTGCTGATTCATTAGATAAAATGTCGTGGCCTGTGTTGTGCAGCGAAGCCAGACTCGGTGTTCATCTTAAAAGTGTTTTTCTAGTAGCTTCTTGCTTCTAAGTTTGAAAAAAATAAGTTGCTTGTACAAAAGGAAGGTGTTGATCAGAAAGCCCTGTTTCTGTTGTCATCTGGGGACAAGTGTGATAAACAGATATGTTTATGTTTAGCTTTATAGGGAATAAACAGAAATGTTTCTGTTCAGATTTGTGGGGATTGGGAGATGAAAGAACTTAGATGCTGTTAGTTCAGTCTTCCATCTTGCCTATTCCCTGCCTTACCGGCTGCTGCCGCCGGGCACCCGTGGC